TCAGTTCTGAGTTCTCAGGTTACCTGTTCCATTCAGTCCTGGCTGCAACATTTCAGAGCAATAGATGTTCACAAACTAATGCTTGTTCCAAGGATGAACAGCCAGGGTGGTAAACGGCTCTAGAAACCGTTTCATCCAAAGAAAAGTTGCAGGAAGTAAGTTCTAATCAGCCCTCCAGGTATATATCTGAGCCTTGCCCACCGTTTAGATAGTTTGCCTTGGAAGGGCGCCTGGGTGGCTCAGTAGGTTAGGCCTCAGACTTCCGCTCAGGTCATGATCTCACTATGCATGAGTTGAGCTCGAGCCCTCGTCTGGGGCTCTGCTGACAGCTGGGAGCCTGCTTCAGATTTTCTGTCTCCCTGTCTCTCTGCCCCTCCCCCGCTTGCACACTCACACTCTTTTTCACTCAAAAATAAGTAAACATTTTAAAAAATTGATGGCTTGCCTTGGAGAAATTACTTATCCTCTGTGCCTCTGCTTCATCATCTATAAAATGGGACTATTAATAGTCCTTGCAGGGCCGCCCAGCTGACTCAGTCGGAGGAGCATGTGATTCTTCATCTTTGGGTTGTGAGTTCGAGTCCCATGTCGGGTGTAGAGATTACTTAAATAAATCTATGTTTTAAATAGTCCTTGTGGCATAGGGTTATTACGGGAGTGAAGTGAGTTGATACAGGAAAAGTACTGAGAAAAATACTTGACAGAGTAGACACCGTACAATTACTGCTATTGTTTTATTATCAGTACTGTTATTGGAGAAGAGCAGGCTGAGGAAACACAGGAGCACTGCCACTTATCTGCCACTTATCTGCACTTATCTGCCACTTATCTGCCATGTGACTTTGTGGTCTTAAAAAAGTAGAACTTAAGACCAGATTCCAATTTGAACTCCTCCACATAACAGCTGGGTGACCTTTGCAAAGCCTGGAGGTTCTCAGAGCCTCCGTTTTCTCATCTGACTCAGGGGAGGTATCTCTTTCCTTATCTAACAGGCTCATTAGGAGGATCCGAATTCCATTGTGGATTTTGCAAGCTACGCCTCAGATGCTGCTGTCATTGGCGCACGTGAACTGGTGGCCGTTGGGTGAAGAAGCACATGTCTTTAGGGCTGGGTCAAAGACACAAAACCAGGAGCAGAGGCTAGAAGTTACAGTGAGGTCAGCTGCAGCTTCACCTAGGGAAGAACTGTCTTTCTTTTTTTTTTTTTTTAAGTTTTTATTTATTTATTTATTTATTTATTTATTTATTTATTTATTTTGAGAGAAAGACAGACAGAGCGAGGAGGGGAAGGGAAGAGAGAGAATCCCAAGCAGGCTCTGTGCTGTCAGCATGGAGCCCAATGTGGGGCTCAAACCCATGAACCATGAGACCATGACCTGAGCCAAAATGGAGTCAGACGCTTACCCGACTGAGCCACCCAGGCGCCCCAAGGAAGAACTGTCTAACAACAGGTGCTACAGAGGTGGGGAGGGTCCCAACAGGAGAAGGAACCCAGCACTGGGGCCAAAGTGGGCAGTTCTACGAGTCTGGGCTTTCTGTCCCTGCCAGACCTGCCTCCACAGAGCCTGCTTTCCCCACCTTGCAGAGTTAGGCTCAGGGGCGCCTGGGTGGCTCTGTGGCTTGAAAGTCTGATTCTTGATTTTGGCTCAGGTCATGATCCCAGAATCCTGGGATAAAAGCCCATGTTGGCCTCCGTGCTGATCGTGGAGCCTATTTAAGATTCTCTCTCCCTCTGACTCTCCCTTCTCCCCCACTTACACACATTCCCATTCTCTCTCTCTCTCTCACTCTCAATCTCAGATTTAAAAAAAAAAAAAAAGTCCCTGCAGCCTCTCTCTTTAGGGAATCGCCCCTCACCTCACCCGACTCCTGTGCCATGCCTCTGCTCTGCCATCTTGGGAAGGGATTCCATGACCTTCTTTGATGTTTCAGAATCTTGAGCTCTTCCTTAGGTCCAACCTCAGTCCCTCCCAGGACTACATGAAAAATATGTTCTTGGGCTCTGTTTTCTGGATGTGGATAAGACTGGCCCTCTCTCCTGGATGAAAAAAGCCCTTTGTTGACCACAAAGAAAGGGACTGCAGTGGCTGACCCTTCACAGTGGATTCTTAGCACTTCCTTGCTTAGTGTGGCCCCTGTAGCCTGTCTTAGAAGTTTCCAGGCAGCCCAGAATGTCTCTGCCTCTGCTGGCCACGGACATCCGGCTGCCAGCCCTGGGCATCCCTGGTCTGACTTTGCCTCATTCCTGTTATCTCACCAGCTGGTATATCCTGTCCACTGATTTGCACCTCCTCCCTGCTGCTTGAGTAGGAATCACTCATCTGCTTGCTTGCCGCAAGCCAGCCCCTGTGATTCACCCTCGGGTCACCACCTACCAGGCTGTGTTAACCTCTCCACCCACCCCTACCTCTCTCCTTGAACAGGAGCCAAGAGCCCTGCATCCCTCTCTCCTCCACTCCTGACAAGTACCCCTCATCTTACCGCTGCTCTCCCCCAGCAGCCCCCCTCCAGCAGCCGGCAATCCTGTGGCACCTTCGTAGAGGGAGAAAGGGCTTTGAAATCAAACACACTTGGTTTGCGACTCAGCTGCTAACCCGAGAGGCACTGGCTACTAGGTGGAGTGGGTGACTTTTGAATCCCAGTTTCACCACCTGTGTGGTGGTGTGAACTTGGGCTGGTTATTTAACCTCTCTTGGCCTCAGTCTCCTCTTCCATAAAACGGGAGTGATACTGGTACCTACTTCAGAAGTCTGTTGTGAGAATTAAATAACTTCATATAAAATGTAATGTATCTGGCGCACATTAAGGACTATAGAAGTGCTCGCTATTATTGTTGCTATTTCTTTATTATGTGCTGTGTGACCTTGCTCAAATTATTTCGCCCCCACTTCCAAATGGAAATAACAACTATGTCCACCTCCACGGACTTGTCAAAATTAAACGAGATAGTCCCTATACAGCATCCAGCACAGGGGTGAGCATGTACCAGGTGCTCAGCACCATTCCTTGACTCCCCTCCCTTCCTGGGGGCTCTCTTCCTGCTAAGTCCTGTGGCTGCTGGTCATGCAGGAGAGATTCTTTCTGTGGACACCTGTCTGTGGACACCTGTCACCCAGCCTGCAGGCCTCAGAGGCAGGGGCTCTGGTTTCATTCCCTGGGGCTTTTTCCTAGACTGTCCATGACCCTGCCCTCAGCACGCCTCAACAGATTTAGCCCTTTGCTCTCCATCTCCCACCCATGTCTTTCAAGCACAAATATTTATTGGGAGCCTACTACCCAGCCTGTGGTCCTCCCTGCCTGCCCGCCTTCCCCACCCTGCTGGCTCAGCCCCTCCACCATGGCCCAAGGAGGTGAAGAGAAATAAGTGGGGGAAAGATCAGGGTAGAGTAAAGCCCACCGGCACCAACGAAGAGAAATGAGGCTGAGCGGGAAAAGGAGAGCTGGGAAATGAGACGTCGACCTCTGATTACAAACTTCACTTATTCCGTGTCCCACATCTTGGATATTAAGAAAGGCAGGGGTTTGTGATGAGACAGAGGGTGAGCCCCAGCTCCGTCACTATCTCTGTGATCTTACAACTTGTCTGCCTTTGCCTCGGTTTCCTCCGATGTAAAACAGGGATTACAATAGTCCCCGCCTCACGTGGTTGCCACAGAGTACTTAGCAGTGGCTGATGCATGAAGCAGCTTCTTAGGAAATGGGCCCTTCACTTGACAGCACACGGAGGCTAATCCATGAAATGGCTGGCAGTGTTTTCTCTGCGGCACGGGACACCCCAACCCTTTTTAATCCATAACACACCTTTGGACATGATAGCACACATGGGGGTTCTCCATCCTTAATATGCGACCAATCTCCATCATCCATAATCACACCTATAGCCAATGTTTGCCCACATACTCTCTCTCTCTCTCTCTCTCTCTCTCTCTCTCGCAATCACACCTGTAGGCACTCACAAATCTTACACTCCCTGAAGGCAGAGACTGACTCTTGGAGACCACAGCGTCCTGCTGTTATCTGTGCTGCCTGTCTCCTCCATCTTATTTTATCTTTCTGTCCCCAGAACCTAGCAAAGTGCCTGGCCTTCAGTGAAGATTGAATGAATCATTAATGAACCCATTTGCCAGATGCCTAGCATGGTGTCGGGCGCGCTCCAGGTGTTCCCAACGTGTTGCATGACTGACTAAATACAAATACGAGGTGTGTGTCAACACCAAGCTGTGCCCTCCTTTCTTCTCCATGGTTACCATCCCCACTGGCTTCTAGAAGAAAAGCTGGCCAAGAGCAAAGATGAAACCCAAAACTTCAGGACACACCCAAGCACTTAAAAGTCAGGCACCTGGGCTGGTGATGTGCACAGCCCAGCAGGGGTCACCCAGGTCTTGGAGGGAACAGCTGGACAGGGGAAGGGGGTTTGCTTTCTGTCCTGGTCTCCTGACTTACCCTCAGCCTCAAGGCTCTCAGACTGCTTTGACACCAGCCCCCACCTTGATTTCTCCAAAATAAACTCCCCTTCTACACCGAGACCAACATCCTAGGGCCCAGCACCCCCCCCCCCGCCCCAGCTTCCACCACCTACCGCCACAGCACCTGCTAAGGGCTTCGCCTCTCCATTAGATCCATTAGATTCTTCTCTCGAGGTGGAGGAGGACTTGTTCTTCACTCTTGCTCCAGGGAAGGGATGGGAATGATCTCTACCCTGCTCTTTGGAGTTACCTGTATCTCACTTCATCTGTAAGCCCTCCCACTTGTGGGAGGAGGAAGGGAATTCCAACGACCACACTCTGGATAAGCTGGGGGTGCTTGGAGGGCCCCCTCAGCAGAGCCGCTCGGATGGACAGAGGCAGAGCCCATTGAGTCAGGGGCTCCCTATCTAGCCCAGAGAGAGGTCCACCTAGGGACAGGAGAAGCACCTCCTACCCTTGGGTCTGCGGGTCCGCCCCTGCACCCTCTGTCGCACCCTTCCACGTGTCCAGGAGGTGATGGAGGGGTTGACTGACCTGTAGGGATTGAGGGTGCAGATGGTGACGGCGGGGAAGACAAGCTTGTCCGAGTGGAGGTTGATGTTGAGGCTGACGGGGTAGCTGAAGTACTCCCCAAACAGCTGGCCGAACTGCCAGTACATCATGCCGAAGGCGCAGAGCCAGAGCACAGCCCAGAAGGCCGTCTTCATGCGGTTGTGCTGGGAGCACACCAGACGGATGGCGCCGTGGATGGTGGTGTTGTTGCAGAAGAACTGGAAGAGGTCTCGGTAGGAGCGGTGGAACTCGATCAAGGCCTCCTCCTCCTCTTTGGGCTGCGGGGGGGCCGCAGGCTCGGGGCCCAGCCCCTGCTCCTCACGCCGCTCTCCTTTCATGAGCCTTGGGGGGTTGTGAAGGGCCAGGGTCAGGGCTGAGTTCTGGGCTCTGGGGCCTCACTCCTGGACCTGGAGTGAGGCTGCTCCTGGCCAGGCCCGCATCCCGCCCTGCCCTGAGCCCAATCTTTTCTGCCCCTCCCTCCCTCCACCGTCCCAGGAGCCGGCTGACCTGCTGGAGTCCGGGCCAGGAGACCTGCAGCTGGGCTTGCCGGAGAAGCCACCTGGGGGTTCAGTCCCAGCACCTCCCTTTCTGACTCCTCAGCTGTCAGTCTGCCCTGCTTAGTCAATCTTTAGTCTCCTTCCTCCAGGACCTCTGTGTCCCAGCTCCTCTCTGTCTCTCTCTCCTGCTTTCTGCTTCTCTTTGAGTCTCTTTCTCAGCTCTCGTCTTCCTTGCCTGCCTCCTGTCTGGGTGCCAGGCTCCCTGGTCCTGCGTCTCTTCCTCTTCCTCCCGGTCTTGCTCCCTCTCGGTCTGAGCGGCCCCCTCCTCCGTCTCCAGCCCTGGCCCTGGGCTGTGTCTGTCCCAGGGACTGCAAGGCTCCAGGAGGTCTGGACTGCCTCCTGCTCCCAGCTCCCAGGCTGTGGCTGGACTGGGACTGGTTCCTTTCCAGTTGAATCTGGCAGCCCAGCCTCTCCTCCCCCTCACCTGACAGGTGCAGTGGCCCAGCCAGGGAGCCCGCCCGCCAGGCTGGGATGGAAGCGACAGAAGCCTCATTAGCATCTCAATTAAAGGTGAGCAGGGCAGGGGGAGGGGCCAAGGAGGAGTCGGAGCTGCGTGTTCTCTAAAGGGAGGAGGGCTCCTGAGGGCAGGTGCCCAGGGAGTGTGGGACTGGGGGAGGTGGGAGGCCCCCCGCAGAAGAGTAACGGCCCCGGGAGGCCGACAGGCAAGGAGATCAGAGACAGAAGGGGAGGGGAGGGCCAGAGATCTTGGGCAAGGAGAGGGATCCCAAACACAAAGCCAGGAGGGCAAAACACAGAAAAAGAACCAGCCAGGATGAGGAAGACTGAGGCAGGAGAACAGGGAAGGCAGAAAAAGGGAGATGGATGGAAGAAGACAAGATGAAGGCCTGGGAAGGAGAGCTGGAGGAGAGGCAGAGAGAGGAGGGTGAAGGGGGCAGAGCCAGCCCTGAAGGGACTCTCCCTTCCCCAGCAAGAGATTGAGGGGAAGAAGCCCCGAGTGGGCTTCCAGGAGCTGCGTCTCCTCTCTGGACACCCATGGGTCAGCCTCACCCCCAGGTCTTGTAGAAGAAGAAGGGGCGTCTACTCAGTAAGGTGGGATCACCTACTGGCCCCTCTGGGCACTGGGGCACAGGAGCACCCCTCTCTGCCTCCCCCTCCTGGCCCATCCTTTTCCCTCCTGAGTCCTCACTACCACCCCTTACCTTGTCCAGTCCAGGGAGGGGCCCAGGAGAGGCTGGAGATTGGGCGGGGCCCTGGGACATTCTGTTCTTTTTTACACCATTGGCTGCCAGGCCAGGAATGTGTAATGTCCCCTGTTGTGGTCACGGGGTTGCAGGAATGTGGTCACCGAGAGGCAGCACAGGGGCCAGGCAGGGCACCCGGGCACAGCCCCGGAGCCCAAGGAGCACTAGGGACCATGGGCCCTGAGCAAAGAGGGAGCGATGTGGGCAGCACTGGGGGTGGGGGGGGCAGGGAGGAAGAAGGTGGGCATGGCCCAAGTCCACACAGGCCCTGGGAAGAGGGAAAGGCTCACTGGTGGGCGCTGTGTTTTTCCCCCAACATCTCTGCCCCGAACTTAATCCAGGAAGAGGATAAAGAGTGAGGCGTAGGCAGTGAGTACACAGAAAGGGAAGGGTCAGCGAGCAGGCCCAGAGATGGCCCAGGCAGGTGCAGGAGACCCAACCACACAAGCCAGGCACCTCCAGGGAGCAGGCCCCGGATGTGCAGACACAGGCCCAGCCTGAGCACTGATGGAGCGTGGTGGGAGAAGGCAGACTTGCTACATAAGATAAGGATTCCGGTGGCAGAGATAAGAAGTAAGTGCTGAGGCTGCTAGGAATTTACCCAAGGGATCCGGGAGTGCTGATGCATAGGAGTACACGTACCCCAATGTTCATAGCAGCACTCTCAACAATAGCTAAAACATGGAAAGAGCCTAAGTGTCCATCAACAGATGAATGGATCAAGAAGATGTGGTTTATCTATACCATGGAATACTACATGGCAATGAAAAACAATGAGATCTGGCCATGTGTAGCAACATGGATGGACCTTGAGGGTGTTATGCTGAGCGAAATAAGTCAGGCAGAGAAGGACAAATATCATATGTTTGCACGTATAGGAGGATTAGGAGGAATTTAACGGAGGACCACGGGGGAGAAGAAGGGGGGAAATGGTGGGGGAAAGGGATAGAGGCAAACCATGAAAGACTCTTGAATGCTGAGAACAAACTGAGGACTCATTGGTGTGGGGGGGGAGGGGGGAGATGGGCATGGAGGAGGGCACTTGTGGGGATGAGCACTGGGTGTTATATAGAAATCAACTTGACAATAAACTGTTTGTAAAAAAAAAAAAAAAAAGCGCTGAGGGAGCCTCGGGGTGGCAGGCAGAGGCACTCACCCTGAGGAGACCCAGGAAGACTTCCTGGAGAAGGTCACATCTCAGCTGGGTCTTGAGGAACACCAAGGAGTGTACCAGACAAGTAAGAGGGAGGTGGGATACTCCAAACTCAGGGTGCAGCTGGGCCCTGTGGCTTCCTCTTGGGGCAGAAGTTCTCCTGTGGCCTCTTAAAGTGAGAGCTGCCATCAGCCAGGATTCCAAACCGGGTCCATCGCTTCCCTTGACGCCTGCTGGGGACACCAGCCTAGGAAGGGAAAGGCTGGTTTTTCCTTCATTTTCCAGATGAAGAAACTGACCCTCCACAAAGAGAAGCCAGTTTTCTGAGGGCACAGAATGAAACAGCAGCTGAGAGAAATACAAAATCAGAACTATTTTCCTGCAGGGATGCCTACTCAGGGCATTTGCCATTTATTTCCCATGACAAACCAGCCACAGACTCATGGGGAACTGGAGCCCCCCATTCCTGGTTTTGAAAGCTAGGAGGTTCACACGCAGAGTCTGTGGGCTCATAGGAGTCTGGGTCCTGGCTTATCTCCCTGGCTCTGTGGAAAGCTCTCTACACTGACCCCACATTCCCTCAGGACCCAGACGGCCCCAGAACCCCTATTCTCCCTGGAGCCTGGTTCATAAACAAATGGAGTATACAGCACCCTGCCTGTTTGATCTCAAAGGTTAGGAGAGGTACCTCCCTGCCTTTTCTATTTGCTAGCTGGTGTTTGAAATCCAACCACTGGCTCAAAGTAGCACAGCAAATAATTCTCATCTCAAGGGCTCTGGGAGAAGAATCACAAAGACAGGTCTGGGCTGAGCTGGGAGCACGTGGTGTCCCCGGAAGTGCCTGTCAGGGTACCGGGGGGCAACGCATGCTCAGGGAAAGCGTCCTTCTAGATCCGGAATAGGCCAGAGCAAGTTTGTTGTTGTGAGAAACACAGAAATCTGCACTTCTGTCACGGCTCCATTTTAAATATTACCTTTGAAAGTGCAGAAATAATGTCAAGGTGCATTTTTGTCACAATGCGGCTTTTCAACAAGACAGAAATATACAGAACAATAAAAACTTCCCTTTGTCCCATTCCCTACCCACCCCTCAGCCCAAGGTTGTAATCAGAATATCCATCTGTATCTTTTTGTGTGGTTTTATATACTTATATGCATTTTTTAATTTATACTTTTTTTTCATAAACAGGATCATATTATAGGTATTCTGTGACTTCCCTCTTTGCCCTTGAACTATGTGACTTTGGAAAAGGCACTTTACCTCTCTACACTCCAGTGCTCTGATCTGAAATGTGAAATGGCAGGGGGAAAGGAGGGTGAGGCAGCCCAGATGGTCCCAGAGGCCCTTTCCAGTTGACTGTGCATTAGCCCTTGCTTAACATAAGCGAGAACTGAGTCCCAGAGGAACAAAGCAACTTGCCGCAGCCACCCAGGAGTGAGGAGTGGGGCCAGATGGATGGCTGAGCCTCTCCTTTCCACACTCAGTGCTGCTTCCCTGACTTCCAGAGAAGTGGGGTCTTGCTCTATGGGGTCCCAAGGCACTGTGGTCCTTGTTTTGGAAGCTCCCCCAGCCACTCCCAGACCCGAGCTGTCCCCTACCTCCTGGTACTAGCCATGCCCTAACCCTATGTGGCCATAAAATGTGCAAAGGCTAAGGGAAAGAAGTGAAATAGAGGGTCTGCAATGGATGAGGGTCAGGAGTTCAAGGGGGCTTCCTGCCTCTTGCTTTCTGGGGAACAGAAGATGACGGAAATAATCACTTTCTCTTCCACACTGCCAGAGAGAGCCTTGTTGAGAATCTATGGAGGCACTTAGCCACCGTATATGATTACTAGCCTGGTATGCGCTTGTGTGCATGTGTGTACACACAGATCATACTGTGTACTATGAGTTCTCTGAGAACAAGCTCTAGGCTTATTTGCCTTGGTGGCCCCACTGCCTAGTGGTCACTATTTGTTGGCCTACTCTGCAGAAGACAGCAGAATTAGCATCTTAAGACTCAAGACTGATCTTTGGCAGAGAGTGATGTGAGATGAGAAAGCACCTCCATGAAACATCCTAATTTCCTCTGATAACTCATTAATTTGTCATCTATTAATTTACCTAAGTTTCCTTCACTTTTTCCATTTCAGTCTCTCTATCTTTTCTAGGGTAAAAAATGAGTCACTCAATTCAATGCAGCTCTTTATTCTTACCACTGAGAATTAGTTAGCCTTTCAACACTGGGCTGCCCACTGTGGAAAACAGTGCTCCTTCTATCTGCACTTATATGGTGGGAATTTCTCCTTAACCCATAAAGACGAACCAGAATATTCCTCCATGCCACTCCTATTCTAGTCACCTGGCAGGAGGCTTAGAAGTTCACCATTGAAAGTTTATTCCTTTGGGTCAAGGCAGGATTTCTCCACCTCAGCACAACTGACGTTTGGATAATTTTTTGGGATTAGTGAAAGGGGTGGTCCCCACTGAAAATGCAAAGTCCCCAGAGAAGGATGACCCCCTCACCTGTGACCCATCTCTCCATATTGACCAGACCCTTTCTGAGAGCACCAGTTAGCTAAGAACAGTGTGGGAAAGAGGAAAGACAGAAAGAGTATCCAGAAGAATCCATTCCCACCAGCCACCCTTTTTGGATTCTTCATGGACCTCTGGGAAGAAAGGTCTCCCACCAGTCCTCTTGGCAGAAAGCCAAACATTCTGGGAATCTATGGGGTACTCAGCCCAGCCCTGGTGCTGCCCAATGGAAATGAGCTTCAAGGAAGCTGGCAAAAAACACACAGAAAAGAAACCAAGACAATGCCCTGCCCGCAAAGAATTCATGGATCCCCCTCTGAGTTTCCTTCACCCGCCTGGATGATTTGTGGATATTACCTGGATAAATGGTAAGATTTATCAATCGTGGTCCAGCTTAGAAACAGCAAACATTCTTAAGTCTTCCAAATGGAAGAAAGTTAACCCAAGGAATCAGTCCATGGCTGATGAAAGAGATGAGAAACAAACAGGGGACAGCGAGGCAATCCAGAAAACAGCAAAGCAGGAAGCAGCTACATCTGCCCTGGACAGCAGGGCAATTTAGCATTATAGACCCAGAGGCCTCCCGAATTATTTGACAGGAAGTAAATAGTGGGGACTGCCTCACCAGAAATGGGATTATGAAAGGCGGCAAGAAAGAAACACAGGCAAACACAGAAGGGTGATACCCGATGTCCAAAAGTAAACAGACAGAGAAATAGCCTGGCTTCTTTCCTCCTCCTACCTACCTGTCCTTCATTCACCTGTCTTCCTATTGGCTGAACCTACCCGAGCCCGAGGAAAAAGGAGTCTGGGAAATGTAGTTCCCAGTAGTGACACAAAACAGCAGAGGAAGAGGGGAAGACAGATCTGTAAGCAAACCAGCAGTTGACTGGCAAAGACAAAAAAAAAAAAAAAAAGAGGCCCAGAGAGGGGAAGTGATGGACCAGGATTAAAGTCCAGATCTGAAGGCTCTTTCTTTAGGACCAGAGAGTCGTTGAAGGCTGAAGTGACAACATGAGATTGGCAGCAGAAAGAAGAATACAGTTCAGCAGCTGCGGTTAAAAAAGATCTGAGATAGCGCTTACCTGTGAAGCAGGAACCTTTTGAAGTGTAGGAAGTGTTCTGGGGGAGATACACAAGAACATACAAAAGTGAAAATTCATTGATCTGTATCCATCAGATTAGTGTCCTTCACGCATTTCATTGTTTATGTTATACCTCAATTAAAAAAAAATGAGATCTCTCTTTTCAATAAAATCCTATCATATTTTCAGATGAAATGGTATATGGCTGGGATTTGCTTCAAAATAATTTAAGGGGAGATTAGAATGGAGGAGGGCTGTAAGGAAGAAATAAGACTGCCGTGAGCTGAAGCTAGAGTTCACAATATTATTTTCTACTCGTGCGTATGTGTGTGTGTGTGTGTGTGTGTGTGTGTGTGTGTGAATTTCCATAATAAAAAGGAAAAAGAATCTAAGGCCACTACATGCACATACCTGTATGCATTGAAGAGCTCAGTGGTGAGTCCAGAGTCAGCCTCCAATTCCCTTGACCTTGAAAGAGCAACAGCTCTGAGCAGGGAGTGTTGCTCCGATATTTCTTCCCCTTCCGAGCAGCCTTGGAACATCTGCATAAACATTTGCCCGCAGAGTACACGTCTGAGGTCTGCACCAGGAGAGGAGAGTGAAATGTCTAAACTCAGGCAGGCCCTTCACTGTCTTGTGAGCCCTCTTCCCCGGGCACACTCCTGTGCCACTACTTCCCAGCTCCTCTACCAAGAGCCTGTCCGGCCAGTCAGACAAATCAATGCAAGTGAGTGCCAGGCCCTGCAGGGAGACGGGGCAAGGCAGTGCCCAGGTGACCCCTCTCCAGAGAGCAAGTCAGCTCCTCACACCAAAGGAGACACCCTGAATCACAAAGAGGCAGCAAGGTTGCTGGACTGAGCTTGGGACCCAGAAATCAGGAACTCTGGAGCCTAGGCTGGCCCTGCCACAGACTGGCTATGTGACGTGGACAAGACACCTTCGTTTTACCCTGTAAATATGTACTGGACACTTGGTATGGGCTGGACTCAGCCATGCACTGAGACCCAGTCTTAAAGGTGCAGTCTCGGCCACTGCAGAGCTCACAGCCTGGTGAGGGGGGAGAGAATAAGCCCAGACCACGGTCTAAGTGAGGTCTGTGCCACCTGGGGGCGGGGGGTGCATCCCAGAGCCCAGGCGAACCTCAAGGACAGATGGGAGTTCGCCAGGAGTACAGAAACTTGCAGACCAGAGAGCCTGGCATAAGGGGGCGTGGCAGGGGCTGGTGCTAACGGGTTGCAGGGAAATGGTGGGAAGAAAGCGGGCAGGGACTAGACCAGGCCCCCTGGAATCCTGGTTTCTCTGTGGAACCCACAGCCTCCGTCTTCTCATGCTTAAGACAAAGTGGCTGCATTGGTGGTCCCTCAGCTGCCTCCAGCTCAGAGGGATTCAGAGGCTCCCTCCTGGGAGAGGAAGCTGGGACTGAGGACTGTGGCCACCCAGCTCCGGTGCAGCTGCCCCTCTTCACAGGGACCTCAGTCTACACAGTCCTCCCCCGTTGTCAAAGGACAGGGGAGCAGAGGCCGCTCCACTCTCTGCAGTGTCTTGTAGGTGACCTGTGCCCACTGATGCGTGCACTGGGTTGGGTCAGGGGACAGGCGGGCTGGAAGGCTTGTTATTCCTCTGCAGCTTATCTGTAAAAGTCACACAACAGGGCAGGAACCCCCGGGAGTCCAGATGGATGCCAACTGGGCCTTCTGGTTCCCAGATGCTGCAGCTGGCTGGCTGCGGGCCTGGGCGGGTGTCGGCACTCTGTGTCTGCCTGTCGCGGGCCCTTCCACTTTCAGATCGGGCCCCCAGCTGGACCCAGCGCCGCCTCTCCCTCTGCCCCGCTCTCGGAGCCGGGTCTGAGCACGGTCTGCCGGCTCTGCTGCCCATTCCTACCTAGCGGTCCTCCCCTCCCAGCCAGGCTTCCGAAGAAGGGAGGAGGCCCGGTTCCGGCCCTGATGCCCTCACGTGCTTTCCCGGCCGCCCCTCCCGCCCTGCATCGGGGCAGCCAAGCCTGTTCCTCTTCCCCGATTGCGACAGCTGCCTCTGCTCCCAGCGCTCCCTGTCCCCGCCCCGAGGCCGGCTCACTCCACTCCCACTTCCTGAGCCCGGCTCTTGGAGCCCCGGAGGCCAGGCCAGGCCCGGCCGCTGGGCCCCAGGGGCACGTCAGCCTGAGCCGTGTCCCAGACCCTGGGCTCAGGAGGAGGTCGCTGCCACCACTGCCGGGGACGTGCAGGCCTCCCACCCAGCTCCCAGGCCTCCACCCATCTGGCCGACTGGCCGCCTGGCCGCCATGCGCCCGCCGTGGGCTGCCTCCCCCTGCGGCCTGGCCTGGGGGCCACTCGCCCTGGGCCTCTGCGGCCTCCTGGCAGCATCCCAGGCCCTGCTGATGAGGGAGGGGCCCGCGCAGGTGGGTGAGGGCGGGCTCGGGAGGGGAAGCGGGGTGTGGGCAGCCCTCTCTCTAGTCCCTCTGCCCTCCCCAGCCGCCCCCTGAACAATTCTCTCCCCCACCGCCGTCTCATCTTGAAGGCGCTCCCATACCACACGGAGAACCAAACCTGCCGGGACCGGGAGAAGGAGTACTACGAGCCCAAGCACCGCGTCTGCTGCTCCCGCTGCCCCCCAGGTGAGAGAGACGCCATGGCCACAGGACGCCTGGGACGGGAGGTGGGTTACAGGGCCTCCCGCCTGCCTCGCAGCCTCGGAGACAGACAGACACCATCGCCCGGGCAAGCAGCAAGACATCCTTCATACGTGGCCCCCAAGACGACAAGGTCACACGGCCAGTGGCAGAGGTGAGGAGGGGGCCTGCTCCCCTGACACCCGGACCCCTTCACTCATGTTCTAGGCACACATGTGTCAGTCGAATGCAGCCGCAGCCAGAACACCGTGTGTGCCACGTGCCCCGAGAACTCCTACAACGAGCACTGGAACCACCTCTCCATCTGCCAGATGTGCCGCCCCTGTGACCAGAGTGAGTGGCCGTGTGCCGGGGAGGCTGGGGTCTCCGGGAGCACAGCCCCTCCACCGAGCCCGCCTGTCTGTCTCCCCACCAGTGCTGGGCTTCGAGGAGACCGTGCCTTGCACCAGCAAGCAGAAGACCCAGTGCCGCTGCCAGCCGGGAATGTTCTGCGTGCACTGGGACACTGAGTGTGTGCACTGCGAGCCGCTCTCCGACTGCCCCCCTGGCACCGAGGCGGAGTCTGAAGGTCAGAGGCCACTGTGGGCAGAAGGCGGGGAGGAAGCTGGGTGCCCGTGATCTTGAATGGGGGCGGGGGCAGGTGTTTGATCTGTGGGGAGCCCCCAGGTAGTTCTCTTTGACATAAAGAGCCTCCTCTCCCTTCCTGGGCGAAAGGCCCACAGAAGGGGTCTGCAGAGAAATGGAATGGGGGCAGGTTCGGGGCCTCAGAAGGAGGCTTCTCTCAGCTTCGGGAGGCTCAGGCCAGAGAGAGGTCAGGAAAGGTGCTGTAGAATGAGGTGGGCAGGCAGGGAGGGCCATCCAGTGGGAATAAAGGGAACTCACAGGTGGAGAGATTCCCCTTGCCCGCTCACCCTGGCTGGCCCTCCTTTTCTCTTGCCAGGTGATGTCAGGGAGGCTAAGAGAAACTGTGTTCCCTGTAAGGCAGGGCACTTCCAGAACACCTCCTCCCCCAGGGCCCGCTGCCAGCCCCACACAAGGTGAGTGCACCCCCACCCCGCACCCCTGCCATCCCAGAAGCCCCAGCCGCTGACCACCCTTATGCTCGCATGCAGGGGCTCACCTCCGCTCGCAGCCCTGTGCCCGCTTGAATCAGGCCTCTCTTGCCTTCACAGGTGTGAGGAGCAGGGTCTGGTGGAGGCACTTCCGGGCACTGCCCAGTCGGACACCAGCTGCAGAAATCCACTCGATCCCCCGGAGATGCCAGGTGAGGAGTCTGGGGCCCAGGGGCACATGGGGGGAATCTGCGAAGATGCCTCAAGTTCTCCCATCTCAAAAGATGCAGAAAAGATGAATCCTTCCCTCTCGGAACTGGGGCAAGCAGAAAAGTTCCCTAAGGAAAAACAGGAGTATCCCTAGGCCAGCTTGATACACACGCTCTTTTTAAGTTATGTGTTACACATACAACTTGTAAGTTACATATAATATTATGCCAAGGAACACTCCTACCTTGAGGTGTCATTGTAACTGACATCACTGTCCTCGTCTTGGACATGCCACCCTCATATAATCTACTTACTAGACCGAAAATCTCTTTACTAGATTACACACTTTCATTATTAGAGTTCACCCCACATTTGACTCTTCTTTGTTGGCTTGTTTCTTTTCTGTGGAGTTACTGGTTTCCTAGCCTAACAGATGGTTAAGGGATATTTCTAATAATTATAAACATGATTAGCTGGGAGAGAGTTTATTAACTTTTTAAAAATTACCAAATATTTATAATAATGGCTTTCATTTATTGAAAGCTAGCACGGCAGGCACTCTGCCAGCACTTGACAGTCACTAACTCGTATAATCTTTTTAATGACCCTGTAAAGTACAGCTGACCCTTAACAACATGGATTTCAACCAAGTGGGTCCGCTTATATGTGGCTTTTTTTTCAATCAATATAGAACATTACTGTACACGTATTTTCTCTTCCTTATGAGTTCTTTAATAACATTTTCTTTTGTCTAGCTTACTTTATCATGAGAACACAGTATATGATGCATAATATACAAAATATGTGTGAATCAACTGTTATTGGTAAGGCTTCTGGTCGACAGTAGACCATTCATAGTTGAGATTTGGGGGGAACCGAAAATTAGATGTGGATTTTTGACCTCACGGGCGGTCAGCACCCCCAGCCCCCACGTTGTTCAAAGGTCAATGATAGTTCTATTATTGTCCTCACCAAGGGGAGGAGGAAACTGAGGCTGAGAAATTAGGGGACTTGCCCCAGATTGCTCACTGCTATCTGGTATTACAAAGGGCTGTACTCAGTTCTTTCTTACTCCAGAGCCTATGCCATAATGCATGCACACCATAGAAAATTAGAAAATTCAGAGAAACAGGGGCACTGGGCTGGCTCAATCAGTTAGACGTCTGACTCGTCGGTCTCAGCTCGAGTCATGATCTCACAGTTTGTGAGTTCAAGCCCCACATCCCTGCTTGGGATTTCTCTCTCCCTCTCACTCTGCTCCTCCCAACTTGCTCTCTCTCTCTTTCTTAAAAAATAAATAAATAAACACTAAAAATAAAAAAAAGAAAAGAAAATTCGGAGAAATAAAACTAAAAATTACCCACAGGACAATCACTTAACATATCGACTCCTAACATTTTTTAATACATCCTGCCAGACATTTCTCTGTCTATACATAGAATTGGTTTTCTAAATGTGGAGTCACTTGAATATTTTGTCACTTGATTTTTCATTCAACTATGTCATAAATCTTTTCCCTTGTCCTCTTATTACTTTTTAACCATGTATCAAATACAATTGGCACTTTAGAGCTGGAATTTTAGACAGTATGTACCTAAACCCCCCCAACTTTATCTTTGGGGAAACTGATGCTCCAAGAGGCAAAAAGTCACCCAGCTGGGCCGGGACCCAGATGTCTCAGACTCCAGGTCCAGTTTTTTTCCCTATGTCTCCCACTCTGTGCTCCTTCAGGCCCTAGGTTTAGGTGGGTCAAAAAGGGCAAGCTCCCAGTATACAAATGTCCAAGCCTTCCTGACCCACCCCAGGCACAATTGATGGGTGTTCTAGCCTCTTCCATGAAAGACAGAAATTATCCAGTGCTGCCTACCAAGACTTGAGAATCTCAACTCCCGCCCTCCCCTCTATCCCCTCCTGGAGCCTGCCCTGAGTGAGGAGGTGGAGACTATGCAACCCCCACTCTCCCACCCCTGTAAACACCCCACATCCTATAGTGGCCTCGCTCTAAGATGGTCATGAGATGTGCCTCTACCCTGTGGCCCGAGTCTGCTTAGAAAGCCAAGGCTCACCTTCCCCGTACTGTCTTCTACCCCTACTTCCAGCACTGGAAAACCAAGGGCCATGCTCGTGTCCTCACCCACAAGACTGCCCCTGACCTTGGTCTCTACACAGTGGCCACCGTCCATACCCCCCAGAGATCTCCACCCACGCTCGAGTTTCCCCTCGGCTGTCAGGAGGTCCTGCCCAAGTCCAACTTAGTTCCCCTGCTCTGTAACCCAAAGGAAGTTTCTCCAATTCTGCCTTTAGGAGCTGCAGTGGGCTTAGAAGGGAAAAGCTGCCGCCACTCCTTTTCCTTGAGTTATCCAGAGGACCAGAAAGCTGTTCCTTAGCTCCCCTCCCCTCTGCCCTGCCTGGGGTCGTCACGGCTGTCCCCTGTCTGCTGCCCTAGCAGGAACCGTGCTGGTGTTGGCCATCCTGCTGCCGCTGGCCTCTCTCCTGTTCCTCACCACGGTCCTGGCCTGCACCTGGAAGAGCCACCCCTCTCTCTGCAGGAAGCTGGGTAGGAAGGAGCTGGATGCGGGCAGAGATGCAGGCCTGGCTGGCTGGCTGTACCCACCTGCTGGGGGAGGGGGGTTGGAGGGAACAGTGAGCTTTCCCCATTTTACCCTTCAGCCCCCCCGCTTAAGACTCCCAGTGCCTGCCCTCAGCATGAACACCACCATCTCTGTCCAACACTCTGAGGCTGGAGATAAGAGCAAAGATAGCTTGTTCCTTCTGGGACCCCAGGGTGGGGAGCAGACATCGTGGTGTGGGGGAAGGGTGAAAGCCATGCCAGAAGCTCTACACCCTTTTCATTTTCCATTGCAGGATCCCTGCTCAAGAGGCGTCCAGAGGTAATGGGGGAGGCTGAGAAGGCCACAGCAGGGGCAGACAAGAGGTGGGGTAGGCAGGATAAGAGTGTGCAGCCTTCAACATTCATTCAACCAATAATTGATTGAGCACACCATGTGCCAGACACCATTCTGGGCACCACGGATATAGCAGTGAGCAAAACAAAGTACCTACTCTCCTGGAGTTACATGCCAGAGGAGTAAGAATAAAGTTAGACAAATACGTGTCAGGTAGTGATAATTGCTGAATAAAGCACGGTAGTGAGACAGTGAGTGAAAGTGGCAAAGGTTAAGGGTATATTAGAGTGGACAGAGAGGGCCTCTCTGATAAACAGATATTTGAGCAAAGAGCTGAAGAAATGAGGGAGCCAGCCATCAGACTATCTGAGGGAAAGTGCCCCAGGAAGAGGGACATCAAATGCAAAGGCCCCGTGGCAGGGAGCATGAAGTGGAGGAGAGAAGGATGAGCTGCCTAAGCGTGGGGTGGGGTGTGGGAGTTAAAGAAAGATGGCGTCTGAGGCCCATGTCATTGGTTGGTTCTCTGCCTCTCTTCTGCAGGGAGAGGAATCAAATACTGCTGATGGAAATTGGGAGCCTCCAAGGGACAACCCACATTTCCCTGACCTGGTAAAGCCACTTCTGCCCTTCTCTGGAGACTTGGCCCCCGCCTCGGCCAGGCTCCCAGCAACCCCAGGTTTGGAGGAAGAGGTGCCACAGCAGCAGAGTCCTCTAAGCCAGGCCAGGGAGCTGGAGGCTGAGCTCCCAGAGCAAGGCCAGGTGGCCCATGGTGAGCCTGGGGCAGGCAGCAGGGAGAAGAGGGGGCAGGGGAGGGTGGGGTGGGAGGGATGGGGTGCAGGAGAAGAAGGTGAGCCTGACAGAAACAGAGCCAGACACAGACTCCAGCAGCCAGCCATCGGCCCTTCTCACTCTGCTTCCCTTCCCACAGGTACCAACGGCATTCATGTCACCGGGGGGTCTGTGACTGTCACTGGTAACATCTACATCTACAACGGGCCAGTACTGGGGGGAGCCCGGGGCCCCGGAGACCCCCCTGCCCCCCCAGAACCTCCATACCCCACCCCTGAGGAGGGTGCCCCAGGCCCCCCCGGGCTCTCTACGCCCTACCAGGAGGATGGCAAAGCTTGGCACCTGGCTGAAACAGAGACACTGGGGTGTCATGCCCTCTAACAGGGCCAAGGACCCAATTTGTCACCCATGCCTCTTGGTGTCTGGGAGAAGCCAGAAGAAGGGAGGTGCAAGAGCACCTTCTCCCTACAGCTGCCCTCCCCACACAGGACTCACAGACGGCCTGGGAAGGGCCCCTGAGAGGCAGACCCTAAGGGGCCAGGCCCGAGACACGCCTCTGAGAGCAGGGCTGGACACTGGCTGGGTATGTGCGCGCCACGAGACTCTCGCCACCTCGTAAGCAGGCCTGAGACTTCATCGCAGACCCCCCCCCCCACCGCCCGGCGGGGCTGCACTGGCTCAACTTCAGGCACGGACAGGGCATGCGGTGCTAACTGCTGCCCACCGCAGCATTCTGCACCCTACACAGGGCACAGAAGGAGGACAGCCGCATGGCCACTTGCAAGAACGTCAGTGGGACCTCCAGCAGATCCGTGGTGCTCACCCCCAAGCTGCAGAGGCCCCTTGAGAACCCACACTTCACCTGGACTGAAGTAGACCCTGTATGAAGATGGAGATACGTGGAAGACCATCTCTCCCCTTTCCTCCTAGAAAGGGAGTCATTAAAAACTGGGAGCTTGGGTACAGTGACTAGGTAGAAGGGAGAGTTTTGGAGGGAGAGGAAAATGGCAAGTGTATTTATAAATTGTAACCACATGCAAATAAAGAGGAGATCGAGACCTAGATCGCTCATTTTCTTGGGATTTATATAAAAATACTATTGTACTGGGGCAATGTCAAGGGCACAGTTCAAAACATTAAAATATAATAGTACAAAGGTATTTCAGTGAGAGGCTGGTGTATGTAAGTCAGGTGATAACAACATAAGCCGGCCATCACTGACAAGGTGCCGGACGGTGTTCTAAACATTTTACAATAGAGACGCCTGGGTGGCCCAGTTGGTTAAGCGTCTCACCCTTGATTTCAGTTCAGGTTATTATCTCACGGTTCGTGAGGTCAAGTCCCACGTCTGCTGTCAGTGCAGAGCCTGCTTGGGTTCTCTCTCACCCCCACCCCTCCCCGACACATGCACAGGCTTACTCTGTCTCTCTCTCTCAAAATAAATAAATAAACATTAATAAATAAATAAATGCTTTACAATATTAACATATGTAACCCTCACAACATCTCTCTGAGATAGATACTATTATTGTTCCCATTTAACTATTGCGGAAACTGAGCCACAAAGAGGGTAAATGGTTTGCTTAATTTAGCTGCAAATGGCAAAGCTGGATTTGTACCCAGTTAGGCCTCTTGGGTAAAAACTTCACATACCCATACTCTGAACAGGTTTTTTAAAAAGGCCTGGTTTCCTCAAATAATCACAACTCCTTCAGGTCCTGCAGGCATATTCAACGTCAGCCAACTCTCATACCCCAACGCAAAGTGAAAGAGTGTTCTTTCCACAAGGCCAGTCAAAGGGTTAGACACACGTTAGACGAAAAATGTGAGATAGCAAGTCCCCATTCTGTTTGGGAAGCGATCTGGGCCAGCCTCCTTCAACTCGCAAGGTGCACTCATGATTTTTACTTGTTTATTCCTTTTTGTCTTATTTAATTTTTCTCAAATAGAACATTAAATCTTCTCAAGCTCTATTATTAGAAAATGTCTGGACCCCAGAATTTGTCTACCTCGCTGCCTGGTAGAGACAACCTGAACTTGAACGATTGGGAGGAAAGCAGCTGCCAGCAGACAGCACCTTCCATAAAAGGCCACCTTCTGGGTCTGATGTTGAGAACACTGTTGCTGGGGCTCATCAAGACAGTGTGGCTACAAAACACATACTTCAGGAGTTGTTGGATCTGACTGAGTGGATGGGTTATTTAAGGTTGACCATGAAAGCATTAGATCCAAATTCCTTTCTTGAGAAGTAAGTCATCATGAGCTCTATCGTTTCATAAGTTAATCCCCCTCAGCTCTGCCCCAGTCTGAGCCAGACATCATGAATCCTTAATAATCGTTCAAGGTATTTGGGTAAAAAACAAATTTTACACATTTTTCAACAAAATAAAAGGAGGGAACGTTTTTTAAAGAAATGGTGCGGACGCCCAGTCCTAGGTGACACCATTCATATTTAGGACTATATCAGCCTGTGTTAATTTGTCAGGGCTGCCATAAGGAAGCACAGCAGACTGGGTGGCTTAAAGAGCAGAATGTTATTCTTTCACAGTTCTGGAGGCTAGAAATTCAAGATCAAGCTTCAGCAGGGCTCGTTGCTTCTGAGGCCTCTGTCCTTGGCTGGCGGATAGCTGTCTTCTCCCTGAGTCTTCATATCATCCTGGCTCTCATATGTCTGTGTCCTAATCTGTTCTTATAGATACACCAATCAGATTGGACTAGGGCCCACCTAATGACTTCACTTTAATTCTCTCTCTCTCTCTCTCTCTCTCTCTCTCTCTCTCTCTTTTAATTTGAGAGAAAGAGAGAGAGAGAATCCCAAGTAGGCTCCATGCTCAACTCAGAGCCCAAGACAAAGCTTGATCCTGAGATCACGACCTGAGCTGAAATCAAGAGTCGGATACTCAACCAACTAAGCCATCCAGGTGCCCTGATTTAATTACATCTTTTTTTTTAATATTTTTTATTTATTTCTAGGAGAGAGAGAGACAGCATAAGCACGGGAGGGTCAGAGAGAGAGGGAGACACAGACTCTGAAATAGGCTCCAGGCTCTGAGCTGGCTGTCAGCACAGAGCCTGACGCGGGGCTCGAACCCACGAACTGCGAGATCATGACCCAAGCGAAAGTCAGACGCTTAACCGACTAAGCCACCCAGGTGCCCCTAATTATGTCTTTCAAAACAATCTCCAAACACAGTCACGTTCTGAGCTACTGGGGTCTAGGACTTCACCATATGCATTTCAGAGGACATAACTCACCCGATAACACTGCCCATGCTATGTCGCCAGTGCTGAGTTAATACAGGCCCCCAGCCACATTAACAGAGCACACTTTATATTGAGAAGAACAACTGTCTAGAATGAAAACGGATGGAAAATCAATAAGGACAGCCTCTTGTTTGTTGTCTTCAAAAGAACCGCATGCAAGAGAAGTTGATATCGGGACAATTTAGTCTGAGTCCAGCTAGCCTCTCACATAGTATTTTCGAGAATGCCACTCCTTTAGCACATGAAGGACAAGTCCAACACTGAGTCCGGCGATGGCAGCATGGGTGCAGGGAGGCCAGGAAGGAGGCTAAGGCAGCAGTCCGTGAGAGAGAAGGACACAACTGGGTACAGAGTAGTAGCAGCAGGAGATGTGGGGGTGCATTGTCCTTGGGTAAATAAGTTTTTTTTCCAAAAGAGGAGTGCCACAGTCTTTCAATTGTTTTAGCTTTATATTTTTATATCTATTAGAGCTCCTTTTAATCTCCTTTTTTAGAATGTTCCTAGCTATATTTTCTTAATTCTTTTTCTAAATGAACTTTAAGATCAGCTTATTTACTAACCTCCCTTCCCCCCCCAAAAAAAAAGCCTATTGGTATTTGTATTGGGCCTCACCAAATGTTTAGATTACTCAGAACTAACATCTTCCTGGTACTAGTCTTCCTTCAACTTTTTTTTTAACACTTATTTATTTCTGAGACAGTGAGAGACAGAGTGTGAGTGGGGAAGGGGCAGAGAGAGGGAGAAGGAGACACAGAAGCCAAAGCAGGCCCCGGGCTCTGAGCTGTCAGCACAGAGCCTGACGCAGGGCTCGAACTCAAGAGTTCCCCCATGACATCATGACCTGAGCTGAAGTCAGACGCCCAACCAACTGAGCCACCCAGGCACCCTGAACATTGATTCCTTTTGTGTTCCTCAGTAGTATTTTAATGTTTAATTCTTTTTAATATAGATCTTGAGTACTTCTTGTTAAGTTCATTCCTAGGTGTTTTATCTGTGTAAATGCTATGGAGATGAGATCTTTTCTGACTTAGTTTTTTTTATCCAGCTACCTACTCAAGTCTCTTCTCATCTATAATAGTTTTTCATTTGGTTCTCTTACGCTATCACCTATAATAAACCATGTGAAATTAATCTCTGCTGCCTAATTTTTATACTTCTAGTACATTTTAATCTTGTCTAAATACATTGCCTAGTAACTTTAGAACAGTATTAAATAATAATGGCATTAATGAACATTACTGTCTTGGTCCTGATTTTAATGGGAATACTTTCAGTATATTCCCATTCAGCAGAAGTTATAATAGATGTGTTTATTTTATTATGATAAGGAAATATCCACCTGTACTTCACTGAAGTTTTAAATTAATGATAGATATGGAATTTTTACAAGAGGAAAACAAATGTCATTTAAGACTGCAGAGATAATTACACTACTTTTCTCCTTAAATCTGATGAATTGCATGAGTCAGTTTTCTAACACTAAACTATCTTCTGGAATAACCAACACTTGCTCTTGTTGTAGTTTTCTTTTAATATACTTCTAGGATCTTGTTTGCTAATATTTTATTCAGATTCTCGTAAATGAACTGGGCCTATACTATTAGTCTGTTTTATGTTCCTCATTGTTTTATAATTATATTTCTATTTCTGACATAACAGTTCATCCTAAAGGAATTATCCCTTAGAGTTAATTTAGTTTAATATCTAGGACAGCCAACCTTTTACCTTCCCCCACCCCACTGTCAACACATTCCCCATCCACGCTGCTGCTCAGCACAGAGCCATAGAGTTCCATGTTAGGACCTCTTCTTTTAGACATTTGTTCATTTTCATGTGCTCATCATGAAAAGATTTACTTGCTACAAGTAACATACCTCTGATATCCCCAAATTATGGACTATTTGATAAAGGGGCTTGTCCAGTCAAATGATGTGATTCATGCAGAAGTCATTCCAGAGCGATAAGACCTCAAAAAGGAAATTATTTTTATACTCAAGGCCTAAAGCCTCCATTTGGGATTAGTCCATTTATAAAAGCTCTATCACCATTGTCCAACAGAGCCTTCTACAATAATAAAAATCATTATCTGTGCTGTCCAATATGGTAGCTGCCTGATGTGATTCATGCAATGGAGGAACTGAATCTTAAATTTAATTTTATTGTATATTTTTAAAGATTTTTTTTTACTTTTCTTTTTTATATTTTTATGTTTATTTGTTTTTGATAGAGAAGGGGGGGAGCAGTAGAGAGACAGGGAGACACAGAATCCAAGGCAGGCTTCAGGCTCTGAGCTGTCAGCACAGAGCCAGACGTGAGATTCGAACTCATGAATCTGAGGTCATGACCCTAGTGGAAGTCAGACCTTAACTCACTGAGCCACCCAGGTGCCCCTACTTATTTTTTTTAATGTTTATTTAGTTTGAAAGAGAGAGAGCCCATGGGCCTGCAAGCAGGAGAGGGGCAGAGAGAGAGGGACAGAGAGAATCTTAAGTGAGCTCCACGCCCAGTTCAAAGCCCATGACTGTGAGATCATGACCTGAGCTGATATCAAGAGTCAGACGTTTAAATGACTGAGCTACCCAGGTGCCCCTTATTCTTTTTTATTTCACATTTTATTAAGTCATAAGATACATAAGGTAAGGTATGTAAAGTGTACTGATCTTAAGCGTACAGCCTGAAGAAGGGTTACGTATGTATACACTCATGTTGCCATCCCAGAAGGTCCAGAATGTCACACTCCCTCCCCCACTTCAGTACCCCTTACTGCATGGGTCTCAGTTACTGTTCTGGGAGACATA